CGGACACACAGCTAACATTGTAGCCAGTGCATTCGCGGCACACAATGCAGACGCGGCACTGGCCCTGCACCAAGCTGTGGTCATCGTAGTCGCACAGGGCCGAAAGGTCCAGCTTGTAGCGCTTATCCGGGGGCAGTAGGGCCGCAAAGCAGGATGCCGCGGATGACGACGAGGCCACATCCTTGACGGGCTGCAGCTTGTTAAAGATGCGTCCGCACTGGCCCTTGTTGTTCAGGCCAAAGGAGAAGAGCTGTCCCTTGGCATTGAGCGCCACACAATGGGCCTTGCCCAAAGCGACCTTCGTGACGTGCTGGTCCAGTAGTTCCGTGACAAAGCCCATGGCATCACAGTGGGCCGTGTCCTTCCCGTACATGATCAGTTTCCCCGCCTTTGTGACAAACGCAGAGGTGCCATTGTTGCAGGCGGCATGAACCACCACGTGCCCATCGATTTTGGTCATCTTTTTGGGCTTGACGGCCTTTGGCTGCCTGCGGTTCTTGCTGGTGTCCCCGTCCTCGCCGCGTCGTGCTGTGCCAGCAAAGAAAACGGTCCCGTCATCGTTCACCAGCAGCGCATGGATGCCATCGTGACCGACGGCCACATGGACAATATGCGCCGCCTTCGATATGATCAGTTCGGTGAGCTTTAGCGACGGCGTACGACCCACACACTTGAGGCCGAGGGCCGTTGATTTGCCATAGTAGTAGACGCGTCCGTTGCTGGCCCGAACCAGGCCGAACTCCTTGCCGCAGGCCATCCCCATCACATCCACATCCGCATCCCGACAGGTGGCCGGTAGCTTGGGCTCGAAGCTGTTGTGCGATGATTGGATGCGCTGCACCTGATGCTGGTTGAGCAGATCATCCTCAAAGGCAGCATAGCCCAGGGTGCGGAATTTCTTGCGGGCCAGCTGCAGGGGCAGCTCGAAGGGCTGCGGTTCGCTGCTGTAGCTGTTGTGGTACAGGTTCAGCTTCTTCACCACCAAAGTGTCCTGTAAAACGTAGCGAAATGAGCAAGGATTACGGGTTAAGGACTAAGGATTAAGGCCACACTCACATCGCGATTGCTGCAGATGGCATGGAGCGAGTCGTCATCGGTAAACAGGACATAGTTGATGCCCTCACGCATGGGCAGCATATTCAAAGGACTCATCGACTTGAGGGCCAGCGTGTCCAGGCCCACCAGCTGCAGCTGATCGCCCGTATTCCGGCGACAGTTCCTTCTGAAATACAAATGCCCGGCACTGTAGCCCAGCCAGGCATTTCGCTCCCGCGTAAAGTCATCGTTCTGCGCGTACACATGCCCCTTGTAGGAGCCCCCAAAGCCAGTGCCGATCTTCAGCAGATATCCATCGTACAGCAGATACAGAAAGACACCATCGCAGGCCATGGCCGGGGCCGTTTCGGGACCTCCTGGCCCCACTTCGGGCAACTTCAAGGGGAACTAAAAGAAAACAAAGCAAAGCGACAGCATAGATGCGATCCCTAGATCCACAGGATGTCGTGTCCGCCCACTCACCTCATCGATCAGGGAATTGTGCGGCACTCCGTGACTATGAAAATCCGGACGTGTGGGCTTGTTCAAGGCCGCACTGATCACCGTGTGCTGGAGGGCGGCCAGCACAGCCGGCAATTGGACAATCTGGGCCGAGAGTTGGCGTGGCGACATGAGCATGGCGGCAATCGCCTTGAGCATCTTGCCAGTGTCCCCGCGGGCAATGCAGAGGCCCAGGAGGGCGGCACAGGCCATGGCCGACCAGTTGGCCTCGGCTCCCGTGGTGGAGTTGAGGGCAGCCGGCATGGTGGCCAGATCAAGCAACAGGTCGTACAGCGGGTTGATAAGCTCTTCTGGTTCCATCTTGAAGGACTCAGGCTGCTGGCCCTGGATAACGTCGAGCAGGGCCTTGAGCGCCTTGGTGCAGAGCAGCGGCTGAATGTGGCGGGCGTCGGCAATCAGCTCGAAGAGGCTGCGCAGTCCGGCGCCCACGATGAGCGGAACGGTGGCGTAGACGGGCTCCCGTTCGGTTGGCTCCTCGGTGTCAGAGTCTGCATCGCTGTTGGCACTGTCGCGACGATTGCGCTTGTCGGCAGAGCCACCCGCAGCTCCGGGTCCGATCACCACACCAATCAGGCCAGCGATGGCAGCACCGCCAGGTGCTATGCCGGGCCCAGGGCCACCGCCGAGCGCCCCGGCGGCTAGGGCCAGTTGAGCGTGACATGTGCAGTCCAGAATGTTGCTTGCCAAGCAGCTGGCGGCACACAGCAGGCAGCAGGAGGAGTCCAAATTGGCGGTCCACTTTTTCAGGCCCATTCCGGCTTCCCTGCCACCGCCACCGCCCTCCTGAAGCAAGGCATATCTAGTCTCCGCTTCCAGGACTGTGGTGCGAATGGCCGAGAAGACGGCAAACTTGGAGGCATTCGGCTCTAGCTCGATGTGGCCCGCCGGGAACGAGGGCATGATCATCAGCTGCTCCTTGACCAGTGGCGGATCCAGGGGATTCACAATGCTACCGGGATTCCCATCCAGCACGGCGGCGGCAGCAGCAGCCGCCATCGCTGCCGCCGACTTCTCCTTGCGACTTTTGCGCTTGGTGAGGGTCCTCCTTTCATTGTGGGCTCGCCTGCGGAAGGGCCAAGAGAGTATCGATTAAACAAAATGTGTGGCTGTGGGACGAAAAGAACGTGGGTGGACATTCCTATGGATTAGTGTTGGGTAAACATTGCTCATTTTGCTCTCATATTGCTCACTTGTTCACCTAGATTGCTCAGTTGCTCATTGCTCACTTAGATTGCTCAGTTGCTCACTTAGATTGATTAGTTGCTCACTTGCTCACTTAGATTGCTCAGTTGCTCACTTGGTCACTGTTCACGCACAGATCACTAAGCACCACAGATTTTGACACAAATAAAATACGTTACATTTCAATTTTAATCAAACATTTTAAACTAAAAAAAAAATTGCAATGATTCCAAATTTCACTATACTTTCGAAGTATCGAATATACTTCGAATTAGCGACATACTGAATTTTCAAAAGAATAAACAGTTTTGCCGGTAATACAAAAAGTGTGAAGTAAAAGCAAATATGAGCAACAACTGCCAGAACGCAAAATGCCATTTGAGGAGCAAAATTGCGCAAAAAGTGAGTAGAGAACAAATGAGCAAAAATGAACAAGTGAACAACAAAGAACAAGTGAGCAAAAAAGAACAAGTGAACAAAAAAGAACAGCTTGGAAGGAACATGTTCAGTTGCTCACTTAGGTGAACAACTCTTTTTTGTTCACTCACTCATGAGCAACACAACACTACTATGGATTCAGGCTTGCAGTGGAGTAACGGCACCGACGCTGCCATAACTGCATGCGCGCACTCGATATATTTCCAATCGGAAAATGGACCAACGGAAATTGAAATTTGAAAAAGTGATGCAGGTCGCGGTCTCTTTGGTCTCACTTCTCGAATGGCAACAAACACAACAACCAAAATAGGCAGGCAGGCGGCCAGTGGGAAGCAAGACACCAGCTGGCGCACAGCCGGGTCAGCTGATGCAGCGGTGCTGCCCATTTGTCGAGCCCGGCCTGCGACTCATTTCAACCCCGTTTTGGCATCACTTTTGCCGGGGGTTGAAGACCTAGATTGACGGTGGAGGGCGGAGGAGAGAGAGTGCAACTGCGACTGCGGCGGTTCGATCGATTTTTCAACCCCACAGAAGCAAAAGAGGGATACAGCTATTGTCCTTTGTACGTATTAGGATTACCTGCGTGTTTGGTTTGTAAACAACTCGTAGAAATGATCACCATATTTCATGGGATTCAATAGTCCCACCATATTTGCGGGCATTTTTCCTTGAGCGCGGTCAAATCGATATTTTCTTCTCTATATAGATATCTTTATATATATATACACCTCTGTAAAAACGTACTGCGTGGGCAGCAGCAAACCGTACCGAAGAAACCGTACCGTTAGCGTTTAACAAGCGAAAATATTTGCGAACTTGAATTTATCTTTGGCTAATTTATTGCACAAAAATTACGAACATAAAAAAATTTAATTAAACAACTAAGAATTAACTATTTGGCATTGGCATTCTAATAAAATATTGCTAAAACTTGAACTTAACTATCGCCTACGCCATTTGCCATTTGCACTCCGCGGAAACACACACTTGCAGCAAGTAGCACAACATTTTAAAAGTTTCCGATGGAAATGTCGATATGTCGATGGTTTAAACCATTCGATGGGGAAACCATCGATGGAAGGACTATCGATTGCTATTGGTCGTCCTTGCACGAACTGAGTTCATCCCAACGAACCACTGTTAAAAAATCGCTACTTAACATTTGAGTTTGACGGCGGAAAAAATTTACGTTTTTAAATTCTCCTTATAGATCCAACTTAATTAAAATGTCTTTTTCACAGGCTGATATGTTATGACCTGCAAGACCATAAACTGAAACATTTCATTGAGAAAGCTTTAGAACTTAGGGACTTTCTGCATTTACCTTGAAATTTTCTTGAAAATGTTGCTTTTTCCGTCCCTAATATTGATGGATTTTTTACATAAAAGAAGTGCGTTAGATACAGATACAGGGGAACCACAACAACAATAAATAAAGCCTGAGCGTAGTGTGTTGCACAGGTTGCCCTGAGGAGCAGCTGTCAAGGGCGTAGATAAAGCAGAAGAAGTGCAGTTAGCGTGTAGTTACCATGTAAAGAAATGGATTTAGTAGACATTGTTGGTTTGTTTTAACCTTATTTAATAAACAGTGCAATAATTATGAAAACTTAGATGTAACCAGTCTTGTAGGAAATCGATTTAATAATCGGATTAAATTATGAGTTCAGATCTGAGGGTCTTAGCTAGCTAGTAATATTGAACCGAATATCAAAAACGAGGAATATGATGGAACTTGAATATTTCGTTAGTATATTTATGGTATATTTAGAAAATGAGAAGGTATATTTTCGTATATTTCTGATGGTCGGACGTTATATTTTAACGAAAAATCCGCGGTCACACTGGACAGCAGGGCCGCAACAACAAAATCGACGAGAAAACAAAAATTTTACGTAATTTATTTAGTGTGATTTTAAATGATTTTGCATGCCCTAACAATGTTCTTTAACTTCCCCATAGGATGGGCAACGCTGTGAATCACTATCTGAGGCCAGATGTGACACCCGGTCCGGATGTGGTGCCTTCATTCGATCCCATGTTGGGATTTAATTCTCGCAAGGAGCGTGTCATGATCGCCACTAAGGAGGAGATGGAATCGGTTAAGCTGCCGCTCGAGGACCGTGACTATTGTGCCCACAAGCTGATCGCCTACCAGGCCTGCCGCTCGGACAAGTTCCCCTTTGTCTATCAGTGCGCGCATGAGAAGCACGAATACTTGACCTGCGAATACGAGGACTATGTGCTGCGCATGAAGGAGTTTGAGCGCGAGCGTCGCCTGCTGGAGCGCCAGAAGCGCCTGGACAAGGCGGCCTAGGCTCTGGCTCTGGGCTTGGTCTTGCTGTTATTCCTTCCCCCAACACACACATACACAAACCACAAACAGAAACCCGGGCCACTAAGCTTCTGCGTGCGGAGTGCAAGATAAAACGATGATGCTGCAGCTGCCACTGCAAACACTGCCCGTTGCAGGCGAGCGTTCCGTTTCCTGAGGGAAATGTCGATAATAAACACCAATGCTAGTAATAATGTGGATTGGCTTACCTTTTTTTTAGTGAATTAAATGACAAAACTGTTGAAAAACCTCCCCGCTAAAGATTCCTTCAGATGCCTCGCTTTCAGGCAGAGCAGAATATGCATCCCAATCAGAGAGAGCTAGAGGGAAATGGAACTCTGTCAGGGCAAAAAATGCATCCTTGGCAAAAATAGATACGATCGCAGGCCACAGTGGCATCCAAGAACGGATCTAATTGCCTAAATGACCAGAGTAGGGGAAGAGTGGACATAGTTGGCCCAGTGGAACGCGTCCACATCACAAAAGGTATCTCGTTTTGATGTGCTTTCACTTTATTCTTGTATTTATTTCATATAACCTCTTAGTTTTGCTTAAAATTAAAAATTGCTTTTGTTTAACAATACCTGCACAATCACACACTCACGCACGCAAGCAGACACGTTGGTATATATATATATATATATATAGTCAATATATATATATAGTAGATACATCTGATTTCAATAAATATGTATGCATGAAGAACTATATAGAACAAAGATGATGGCAAGCGGCTGCGGCTAATGAGCCGTACAATGTCTTACATACTAATTGGCATCGACAATCGTCCAAATTATGTTGAAATGCTGTTGGACATGGACATGGACCTGGATTCTGAAAATGATCAAGCTTCTTTGGTAAACACTCCACAGTCTTCTCCGGCTGGCTGGCGGAGTTGCTTCATCAAATGCCCAGCTTGCGCCACAGGTGATGCATGCGACCATGGGTCTCGAAGATGCTGCGCAGCATGAAGACCTGGATGAGACCAACGCCAATCATGGCACTGATCTGCAGCATCGACCAGTGGTTGACCTTCTGAAAGTTCGTCTCCGCCAGATTGCGGTCGCGGGCCTCATGCGATCGGAGCATGTCCTGCAACTGGCGGGCCTTGTTCAGCTGCAGACGAATGCGGCCGATAAAGTCCATGATGTCCTGTACCTTCATGTCGTAGTACTCGTCGGGCGTGAGATCGGCCAGATCCTCGTTCCACTGTGTGTCGCCATGATGCTGATCGCCCTCACGCTCCACAATCAGCTCAAAGAAGACCGTCTTGCGGTTGAATATGCTGAAGCTGTTGTCGAAGCAGAAACGATAGTCGCCCTCCTTCTCCACATCGTGACGGTGCATGTTCTCCGGCTTCTTTAAATCACTGACTATCACCAGGCCAATGGGATCGAGCAGGGTGAAGCTGATGTCCAGGTCCCCATGCCCACCATCGATCACCTGGTACTCAAAGTCAATCGTCTCGCCCTGCTTGACGCTGTGGTACAGGCACTCCGTCTTGCCGGCATCCACATAGACGGTCATCTCCTTGTCATAGCCATTCACCGGCAGCACCACACAGAACAGCGGCAGGAGAAGCAGACAAGCCAACAGATTCTCTTGCGGCTGCGGGGGGGGGAACGGAACGGAATGAGCACTGAGTAAGCGTTACCAAAATACACACATTTTCATATCTTGCCTCTTATCTTGCACGCAAAGGCTTTTTTTATCGTGCCATTATTTTTTGCGCTTACCGTTGTTTTCATTGCGACTAGAGGTGGAGAACTATCGGTGGCACTATCGACACTATCGATGGTAGGTCACTATACTATCGATGGTTCAATGTTTCGATAGTGGGCGATAGTGGGAAGCACAGAATAACCGTGGAAGCGTCTTAGCCCACTAATGCCCATTCTATTTAAATAGTTCAACTACTTGAGGTAAATGGCGGAAAATATTAATGATTGTAAATTCTTCTTGAGGATTCATGCCATCTCTACTATGAACTTTAAAAAACCACGATATTTTTCAGCTGAAGTGCGCTAAAATGATTAAATTTTCATTATTTTCAGTGGAAAATTTAAATACCCCCTTGGCTTATAGTAGGTTAATCGTTCTCCGTCAAGGATTGGAAACCATATTCCTCGATTTTGATATTCCGCTGAATATTACTGGCTAGATAGAAATTTAACCATGCCCACATAATTATATCCGATTAATTAAACTATTCTCAACTTGACTGGCTTATTTTAAACACTTGCTTTTATTGCATTTTGCGTAAAAAGCGGTTTTAGCGAAATAAGTCAAACAAAAAACAAGTAGCGCAATAGGTCAATCAAAACAAACGAAAAAGGAAATTCGTTCATATTGCTCAATTTTGTTAGGTAGTAAACAACAGTTTTCCAAACTGTCAGGAACTCGATGGAACACTGGCAGGGTGTGTTCGCCCAACGGGGTAGAGTCAACTTTTTCCAATTTGGTGTGCAGCCCTGGGTACCGCGCAAACTCAGTTTTTCATTTGTTTTGATTATTTTTTAATTCATAAAAAGAGCCAGATGAACTTTTTTCCAAATTACTACTCGATCGAGGATATATTTGTAACCCAGGAGAAGGTAGAATGCAAGGTCAACACGAAGCTTCAGCGTATGGGTACGTAAATCGAGAGCATCTGCTCGATCGTATAATTTGAATGTTTTTGTGGATTTCTGTAGGCTTCTTGGATGCCGGCGCAGAGGGAGACGACTTGGAACCGGGACGCAGCATCAATCTGCCGCTCTGGTATATCAAGGAACTGAAGGTGAACAACGCCTACTTCACCGTCTCCGTTCCCGATATCTACAAGAATGTGCACAAGGCCGTCTGTGAGGCGGAGACCACGCACATCGAACTGGGGCGACTGCATCCGTACTTTTACGAGTTTGGCCGCTATCTGACGCCCTATGACCGCAACCATGTCATCGGACGCATCATCTTTGAGACAATGCGGCAGCGTGTGCGTCATCTGCTGGACATATCGAAGAACGATGGACAAATGGCCAAGTCCGAGCTGCGTCTGGACAACATCGAGGCGAAGTTGCACGAGGCGGGCGTGCGAACCAATACGCAGGTAACTTTTCACTTTCTGAGTCCATTCCAGTGATCCATTCATGCAGCATCCCATCCTCGTTTCAGTACATCAACTGGCTGCAGATGACGGGCAATAAAATTCTCATCTCAGAGCTGGTGGAGGAGCATCAGAAGAAGCGAAAACGTGACCGCAGCGACGACGAGGGCGACAGTCTGCCCAGCAGTAAACGTGTCACCCTGTGACACACAAATCCCCCAAAAGTTATGAGTGTTTTTTTGTTTGTTGAAACGTTTTAGCATTTTTATTCTGTAACTCGCTGCTCGCTGCCCCGATCAGATCAGATCCTATGCATACCATGTAAATACACACATACGCACCACACACACACGCACACACACACGTTTCATTGTGCCACAAAAATACAATACATTCGGTCTACGTACATATGCATAGATAGTAGTTTCAAAATACATACAGATCTATATGAGATATACATATCTATGCGTGTATATTATTGCATGCCTGTATAGCGACAGCAGGGGTTAAGTTGTGGTTGTTTGTTTTGTAAATACATATACATAGCTAAGCATTTCTGACAGGACAGAAGCACAATGCACACACGGTTAGGTACCATCTATAAACACCTACTGCTGCTCAACTCTCTCTCTCGCTCTCACTCGCTCACTCACTATCTCTTCTATCTATCTAACTCTCTCTTGCTCTTGCTCTTACTCTTGCGTTGGCAAAAAGCCGGAAGAACCATTGTCTTCAAACCATATATTGTATATAAATAGGTAGCGCAGCTACATACATACACACACAAATACAAATACACATACACATTTAAATACAATTTCTTGTAAGCTCAATTAAAACAATTTGGTTTTGATGCACATTTCACAAATAAAACAATATCCAGCGATCGACAGATCGACAGCTCTTTCCTCTGCATTCTGATCAGTTATAGATCAGTTATAGATATATGTAGATATATATATATAGTTATATGTAGTTTGTGCATAACCTCAACAATCCAATTAATCAATAAATCAATCAACAATTTGCCAGCCTATCGATGTTTAACAGAAAAAACAAAAATAAATTTGCGTCTACCGTGTACTATTCGCCATAAAACGAATGGAATCCTACAACATAGTACATTCACATGTACATATGTATGTGTTACTAATCACTTTGGCTTTTGCAAAACATATGCATACACATAGTACATTCATGGAGAGAGGGAGAGATATCGAATCTCCTCTTTCTTCTTGTAACAGTTTTTAGAACATCTGTAAGCTCGCCTTTTGGGAGGGGGATAGGGCGGGGGGTTGGTGGGGCTTGCGCTTAACAATACATACATATATTTTCGGGGATTATACAATAGCGATAGCAATAATTGAATGCAACATTTTGTTCGGTTTTATCGTTTTATCGGTATATCGCCTTGGTTTTTTTTTTTTTTTTTTTTTTTTGGGGGGGGTGGGGGGCAAGCTCAACAACACATCATTTTAGTTTTGGTTTTTTAGGTTTTTAGTTTTTTAGTTTTTTAATTTTTTAGTTGGGTTTTTTAAGATTTAATTTAGCTTTGATCTTTGTGTTCCTCCGTTGGTTTTTAGTACATAATGTCTTTTTGTTTAAAAACTAAATATCCGTCTGCGCGCCCAGGGTTCTCCTCCTTTGTCCTGTTTTTGTTCCAGTTTCTCTTCGGTATATCCGTGTCCGTATTTAATTCGTTGGTTATTCGGTTATAGTAGGCTTATTCGGGGGTTGGGTGGGTTCGGGGCTGTGGGTTATGTAGTTGTATAAACAATAAGTGACAGCGACAGCTGTGCCTCAAAATAAATACATGGCTAGAGCTTTCAATACGCTTAGCTTAACAAAAACAAAACTAATCTTCGATTTGCACTAGTTCTTGCCATTTATTATGGCGGTGGGAGTGGTAGTGGTAGTGGTAGTGGTGGTGGTGGTGGTGGTGGTTTCCGCCAGACCCGTCGCTTCCGGTGGACCATTCTTCAGTAGGGCAGGCGCCTTCCGCTTGGGCATAAAAGTCTGCGGGCAAAAAGAGAGTAACACACACGAAAATGAGCGAGATGGCAAACAGATGTAAATGCGGCATTACCTTGATAGCCCCCAATACCATCAGATAGAACCAATAGAGCTGCGGCAAGAACAGTATGGCAATGCTGACCAGACATCCCCGTGGCAGGCCGCTCATGGCCGACCATAGGCTGGCCGCCTCAATGGCAAGACTGTAGCGCCACATCACATACGGCCACATGCAGACGCGGCACACAAAGAAGGTGGCCAGCATGAGGAGTCCGTTGGCAATGTACACACGCGACTCCTTTAGCCGCATCGTGCTCAGGATGCTCCTCAGCGATACAAACGGTGTGGAGAACTCCATCATGAACATGTAGCTATAGATGCAGTGGCCACCACCACGAATGTACTGCAAAGGAAGAGGAGGGCATTGAATTACGTGTACGACTGAGCATCGAATGGGTACGCGTGTGCGTGTGCCTTACCGTGACCACCAGCAGACCAAAGGTGCCGATAAAGACGTGATGGATCATCATGACCGGATGCGTTAGAACATACTTAAGGAAGTCCCAGCGCCCGTCCTTGGGTATCTGCACACAGGCCCCGTCATAGTCACAGATCTCATGGGGGGTGCTGGGAGTGCTGCCATTGTTGTTGCCACCGGCACCAGTTCCACCAGCCTCCCTGCCCCTGCCATTGGTGGCCACACAGTGACCGCTCCTCACATGACCGTTCACCGTTGACACCGATGATCCCGATGAACCCTGTCCCTTGGTCAGGCGCAGCAGGTGCAGCTTGTCGGCTATCTTCTGGGTGTGCACCTTATACATGGCCCAGATGTCGTACATGAAGTATGCCGTCCCGAACCATCCGTAGGCCTCCATCAGGAAGTGCGAGGCATAAACGAATGATTTCGTGCATGTCGACTTGCAAACGATGAGGCCCACCAGAAAGGAGAACGAGGCCTGAATGGCCGAAACGGTTCTGAAAATAATAGAGATATATATTATATCTACATATGTGCAATAGATAAAGATAGATACATTAATTAGTAGCGGGTATCTTGAGGTCAAAGCACGTATTCCGCGACTAAAGACAACATTCTGCGCTCTATCTCTATCCCTCTCGATCTCTTGCGTTCGAGACGACGGCGGCTGTACATGAGTATTTGAGTATTCGAGCCCTGCATGAACCATGCCACCGAATCAGCGTCTCAGCTTTCTCATAACATCGAATCGCTCGCCCAAAATGGACTGAACGAAGCAGGTCTCATAATTATTACTGTTTCTGATCCGAAAATTTCGGTTTTTTCTTCGCTCTCACTCCGCATTCGACTTTCTGGGGTGCGATTAGGGATTAGGGATGCGATGTGGTTGGCAGCCACTTAGCCCGGGAATATCCTTTGCCTTGGTAGAGTTTTACGTCAAAAATGAGTAGAATTTAAATAAGGATTTAAAATAAAAAAAAACCTTAGACTTTCGACCGAATTTAGTTATCGGAAATAGCTCAAAATTTTATGTACGACATCGGAAACAGAGAGCGCAGAGAGTCCATCTATAGACAGAGGAAGCCGCACCGGCCTCTAGATGGAAGCAAGGAACTGCCCGCCGGAGGTCGATCCGTGCCACGTGCGACAATTCCTCGCACGGCAGGCCGAGGTCCAGACCAGTCAGCGCCAGAATCTGAACCATTATCTGGAGAAGACCATGTCCGACTTCCCGCCGCCCCTAATGTCCGCCCAGAACACAACATCCGCCTCGTCCCCGCCCGGAGGATCTCGGATCGGAGAGGGCTGCCAGTGCAGCAGGACAAGGCCGAGTTCGATTCTGGAGCAGCTAGTCGGCGCCGGCGGACACAAGCAGGAGAAGCGCCTGCTGGTCCCGGACCTGGCCACCGACTGGTTCCGCAAGCAGAAGGTTTTCCTCGACCAGATCAGCCCTGAGGAGTTGGCCCAGGCCCAGGCCCAGGGCCAGGACAGCTGCTGCTGCCCCCAAGATGTCGCAGAGGACCGGCTGCCAGAGAGCTGTTGCACCTGCCCGGTCAAGCAACGGATGCAATGCCATCTGAAGGCCAAGCTCGATTGCGAGTGCAGGAGCAGACGCAGGAGCAGAAGAGAGAATGCTCCAGCTAGAAGCGAACGGAAGGGCAAGAAAGTGGCCCCCAGTCAGTCTGTCACACAATGCAAGCCAAATGTGGCAGGATGTGGGAAAGAGGGGAGCACGAAAAAGAGAAAGGCCAAGAGCAGGAGCAGGAGCAGGAGCAGGAGCAGGAGTAGAAGCAGGAGCAGGAGCATGGCCAAAGGCAAAGCCACCATCAGTGGCAGTAAGGCGAGCATAAGCAAGAGCCAGGCCATAGACACCAGCAAGGGCAGCGAGAAACGCATGGGGGCTGGCGCCCAGAGCCCCAATCGCCGGCGCATCGATCGGCGTAGGAGCTGCATATGCCTCCGGCGGAGTCCCTCGTGCCGTTGTCCCTGCCAGATGCAGTTCCAAGGCGACGGCCAGCCCATGTCCAGGGAGTGCCAGCTGGCGACGCGGCGCACAGAGCCGCTGATGCCGTGCCTGCGCAGGAAATACGAGCTGCAGCAGGCACCGCAGCGGCGACTCGAGCCGCAACACTTTCGCCGCATCTCGCCGGAGTTCTTCGGGATACTCCAGAAGTACGAGCAGGCGATGACCGAGAGCTGCCCGCTCTACGGCATCTCCATACGGCACTGGGGCGAGACGGCCCCGGTCTGCACCTGCGACGAGGATGGCAGCCCAGCGAACAGGCAGTGCCTCGGCGATGAGTCCGTGCGCGCACCGGGTGCCAAGCCGCCCCCTCCGGCCCTGCTCCCCTACGAATCGGATGCGAATATGGAGGAGGATCCGTTTTGCACCGATGCCACCTGTCCTTGCCGGAACAATGATCAGTCGGATCCCACAGCGGATAGGGACCAGTGCAAGGACCGAGCTGGCCCAGTCAAGTGCCAGGAACCGGAGCCCAGCCAACCGGAGCCGGAACCACAAGGGCAGCCTGTAGAGGAGCCCAAGGACCCCAAGGAGCCGCCCACGAGGAAGCCCATATGTTGCCCGATTGAATCCGAATACCCACGGCAGAAGAAACCGAAAAAGGAGCCAGAGAAGAAGAAAAGCGGCTTCAGATGCTGCCCCTGCTGGTCCAAGGATCCCCTCAAGGGAGATGGATCGACCACCGACGGTCCTGGATCGGATCCACAAAAAGAGAAGAAAGAGAAAAAGAAAAAGGAAAAGAAAGAAAAGAAGCCGCCCAAAGACAAGAAGGAGAAACCACCGAAGGAGAAAAAGGGAAAGAAATCCAAAAAGGACGATGACGGAAGGCGCAATCCCTTTGCGCCGCCCTCCTTTTTGGGCGGATTCGCCTACCTCTGCAGACGTTGCATGCGGTCGGGCCGCCATCTGCTGTACAGCCACAACTCGAGCTACCAGCGCATCCGTCGCCAGAACCAGGGCTTCCCCAACGGCTGTGGCCCCCCAACCGTGGCTCCACCCCCGGCTCCAGCACTCCGAGCAGTCCCAGCTTTGTACCACATGAGGGGTGTGTGCCAGCATCAGCCCGATGTCTGGCGATTCGGGGACACGCCAGCGCCCACCCAAGAGGCAGACGACAGAGAGTCAGACACCGAATCAGCACCAGAAGCACAGCCCGAATGGGAGCCATCGGAGCATGGAGGAGGCTCCCCTCATGGCGGCAGCAGTACCACCACCTTGAGACCACACCTCAGCAGCGAGAGCTGCAGCCGAGCCCCACCGAATCCTCTCAACAGCTGTGGCACTTTCTGCACGACGAGACGGACTCAGGCGGGTGCCTGCAACCTCAAGGGTAGCCCTTCATCGGCCATCTGGACGCTGCAGAAGCGTAGCTCCAGGCCGGTGAAGCGGAGGTTTGTCAACGAGCGTTTCGGTAAGAGAAGGATGCCGGAGAGAGACGGAAGAGCCGAGAGACCTGGGAGAACGGAGAGAGCCGAGAGAGCGGAGATAACAGCACAGGTCAAGGATGCGGAGGAAGCCTCCTCCTCAAGGCTCAAGGACGATGAGGCATCGTCCTATGTGGAGGGTTTCTGCCTCAAGGTGAACAAGCATGGCACACGGGCCTGCTATCTGGCCAACGACTACATGCAGCTGATGAAGATGGTGGCCAAAAAGCGGGCCCGTTGCGTTTGCCTCAAGACCAAGAAGACCACCTGCCGCCCCAAACCAGAGCGAGAGCCCAGTCCCAGGGCAACGGCAGCCCGAAGCCGACGAGCTTCGCCCCCGGCGGCCCAGCGCAGCAGCCCGGCTGCCCCTCGCCAAGCCCCTCGGAGTACCGGAGCCCGTTCGCAGTCCGCCGCAATGGCCAATAGTCCAAAGCGAAAGAGAACCAAGCCTCCAGGTAATACAGCCACAGCCACAGTCACAGATGACGATGCTGACACTTACCAGCTCTCGGATGGGCCAAGCAGCTGTCAAGATCTGGCTGCGTGTAGTCGCAAGACCGAGAGAAAGAAAGGCCCAACCTCCCTAGGAATCTGCCCTAGGAACCAAGCCGTCAAGAAGCGATCTGCCAGAGGCTCATCGAGTCCCAGTCCTAGTCCCAATCAGAGTCCCGTCCGATTGAGCAGGAACGTTCAAAGAAGGTCTTCATCGCCGACACGGAGTGCCAGATCTTCGGCATCGAGGAAAGCCCGCGCCACGGAGAGACAGAGGCAGGAGACTGCCATCTCGAGCAGCGACTTCGAAGAAGTCCCTCGCTCGGAGAAAATACCAGCGCACACGACCCGTGGCCGAAAGCCCCCGAGCGGTGCATCGGATGGGCCGGAAGCCGCACTCCAATGCCATCAATCCAATTCGTATCCGAGTGAATGCGTGTTTACAAAATATTCCTATTCCAATCCTCGTACCGATGCCAGCCAAGATCCAACAGAGCCCAGTCCCTGGCCGGAAGCGGCCCCCAAAGAGGGTATTTCTGCCATAAGTTGGGGGGAGCAGGAATTCCAAAATTGTCCCGAGGAGTGCCCTATACGGCAGCAGCAGAAGCAGTACCAGAAGCAGAAGCATCAGCAGCAGCAGCAGCAGCAGCAGCAGCAGCAGCAGCAGTACCAGCAGCAGCAGGAGCAGGAGCAGCAGCAGTACCAGAAGCAGCAGCAGCAGCAGCAGTACCAGAAGCAGCAGCATCAGCAGCAGCAGCAGCAGTACCAACAGCAGCAGGAGCAGGAGCAGCAGCAGTGGGAACAGCAGCAGCAACGGCAGCGGCAGCAGTACCAGCAGCAGCGGCAGTGCCAGCAGCAGGAGCAGCAGCCGCTGCAGCAGCAGCAGGAGCGGCAGCAGCAATGGCAGCAGTACCAGCAGCAGCGGCACTGCCAGCAGCACGAGCAGCCGCCGCTGCAGCAGCAGCAGCAGCAGCAGGAGCCTTCAGTTGCGACGCAGGATTCTCAGTTTGATGAGAATCAGGCTGAACGGTTCCAGGAGAGAGAGCCAGTACAAGAGAAAGCTGCACAAAGTTACGTAGAGGATCCACCCAGTGCCGAATGGATCACACAGGAGAAGCAGCTTCAGCAGCAGCAGCGGCAGCAGCCAGGACTGGTAGAATGCCGCTGTAACAAGGATGCCCCGTGCTGGAGAAATGTGAAGGAGAAGAGGCAGCCCCAGGTCTACCCACAGGCCCAGTTTCAGTCCCAGTCCCCGATTTACCCACAGAAGGGCGGCTATGATCAGGATGATGAGCACTCTCAGTGGACAACGACGCACAACGAGGAGCGGCCCACAACGAGGAAGCAGCTGAAGAGCCTGTCGCGCTCTTGCAAACTTCGAGCACCGATCGGTGGGCCCCTGCGTTGGATTGCCAATGGATTCACCAGCTCCAAAAGGAGCTCCTGCACCGAGGGAGCTGCCACGGAGAGGGAAAGACCAGCACCAGCACCAGCACCAGCAGCACAGTCGCCACAGCCGGCAGACGTCAATCAGCAGAGGCTACGAGCACCCCATCGACCACCCAGAGAAGTGGGCCGTCGCTACTACTCGGAAACGCAGCCAAAAATGTGGTACGATCAGGTGGCCAGGCTGGACGGCTTGAGCAGCTCTCGGTCGACCCACTCGCGATGCTCGATACGTGCCCTCCGGTCCAACACGGACACCATTCAGAGTCCCCTCACGCCGACACCGTCAGTAGCCAGTGTGGAGGAAGTGCCGGATAGATGGGGATTTCTGCAGTCCACGCAGCAGCAGATGCCGTCCCCGCAGCAGAAGATGCAGTCCCAGAGGCAGCAGCAGATGCAGTCCCCGCAGCAGCAGATGCCGTCCCCGCAGCAGCAGATGCAGTCCCCGCAGCAGAAGATGCAGTCCCCGCAGCAGCAGATGCAGTCCCCGCAGCAGCAGATGCATTCCCCGCAGCAGCAGATGCAGTCCCCGCAGCAGCAGATGCCGTCCCCGCAGCAGCAGATGCAGTCCCCGCAGCAGCAGATGCAGTCCCCGCAGCAGCAGATGCCGTCCCAGAGGCAGCCAGAGACCCCGATGCAGATGCCAATGCAGCCCAGGATGGAGGCCCAATATCCCAACCAGAAGCCCAACGAAAAGAATCGCTATATGCCCCACGAGCACCGCATGGTGACTGTTGCATGTCCTGGTCCTGGTTCTCTCATTGGCTGTGGCTTTTCCCCCAGCAAGAAAATACCCAAGCTGTTGAGCAGCCATCCGCTGGATCTGAAGCACTCTATCGTCCAACGGCGGGAGGCCAAGAGGCCCAAATGGATGTTCCACAATCATGCGCCGCTCACGCTGCGCACGGCCCGGCCACGGGCAGATGCCTACTACGAGGAAAAGCTGCGCCGGCGTTGCCTCAAGTTCATTTTGAACCTCGAGCAGGACAATCCGTCGTCATTCGCAGCACAGGGCACGAGCAGGGCGGCGTTGGACCCAGGGGCAGCTCCTGCAGAGCAGGCGACCTGGTATTCCGCCGAGGAGCAAGCGGAGGCGCAGGCGCACGAGCAGGAACACTATTTATCCGAGGAGCAGCAACACGAAGAGGAACTGCAACAGGAACAGGAACAGGAACAGGAGCCAGTGAACGGCTTACCCGAGGACCAGGAATGGTATGCAGAACCTGGCTATGAAGTCGACGCGGGTCCACAATGGAGCCACACGCGTCGCTCGGTCTCCGGCAGTGGGATACGTCCTGCAAATAACGCTAGAGTGTGGGTCGCGCATCCACCAGATCAATGGCAGTATCCCGAGTCGCATCGGTATGATGACCGTCCTCAGCAGAGCCCCACATATGACCCCTACTACCGTGCTGCCACGGACAACTGGCCGCCACAAGTTCAAGGACATAATTGGGAGCCACCTTCTTACCGCCCGATACAGCAGTCACAGTCGCAGCCGCAGCCGCAGTCACAGCCTCCACTCCACAGGAATTATCAGGAGCCACAGTCTCAGCGACAGCCCCCGTGCCAGAGCCAGCCACAGCCACAGCCACAGCCACAGCCTGAGCGCCAGCCACGCCCTGAGCGGAGGCCACAGTCTGAGCGCCAGTCACAGCGCAATGACCAGAGACATGCTGAAAGGGAGCCACAGTCTGAACGCCAGTCACAGCCTGAGCGCCAGTCCCAGGCTCAGCGTCAGACCCATCCCCATCCCCATCCCCATCGCCAGGCGCAGTCGCAGCATCATCATCCTCAGCCGCATCTCCAGCGACAGGCCCAACCCCCACCCGACAACAATCCCAAGCGGCATTGGCGGTTACCGAGATCTGTGTCGGAGACCAGACCCTTCTATGATGAGGTAGAAGTGAAGGACTATGCCCCGGATGTGGAGCAGCAGCCACAGAATTGGCAGACGAATGCACCACCGCCGGCGTGCATGCAACCAATGCATCACAGGAGCGTGGCACGTTCATCTGCTTCCTCTGGCAGGGCGGCTGCACATCGTAGTCCCCGTCGATCCTCCAGACACCAGGCAGCACATCGGCAGGGTGGGGGTACGGCCGGCGCCATAACCGCAGCCGCACTGGGACTGAGGGGTTTGGTCCAAGCCTTGGGCGGACCCAGATACGCGAGGAAACCCTCGCCGGGCTCTGGCGTGTCTCCAGAGGGAGAGGCTACGACCATATCTTCGATTGAGGCGGGCTTTCATCGTCTAGTACCCATGAATTACTCAAAGGAGCAGCTTCCCTTCACGGTGGATCCAGCAACAGAGCATCGCGAGGCGGCACTAACAACAGCGTCAAATTCAGCCCGCAGCTATGGCCTTGTGTCGGCCCGGGAGCAGCGAACCAGGACATACCCCGTGCAGGAGCGACCTTCGGCCCTTCCGGCCCGTTCCAGCCGTTTCAATAGCTACTCGAAGCCTCCACCGTCCATGGACAACGAGCGGAGCACCCTGTCCCTGTTCGCTGTGCCCACATCCAGCAGCAATCTGGCGTGGCGAGCCGAGGCGACAGCCGCCAGACCGATAACGAAATCGAGAATGCCAGGCGGTCAAGAGGAGCAACGCATGCCGCCTCCAGTCTCGGTTCTCTCCGATCTGGACTTTCACACACATTCCACATCACACAACAGCAGCCTCTCGACATCGGGAGGCTATCTAGCACCGTCCCCGTCCAGGGCTCAGTCCGAGGCCGGAACCGCACCGCTGGCCGTATTCCTGGACAACTTTCGAGCCAGAAATGTCCTGGTTCTGCCCGCCAAGTCCTGCCCTTCGTCCGAGATACCGACCCGCGGAAGCGGAAGGGAGAAGACGAAAGCGACGGATGAACAGGGACCCACTCAAGGACGTCGCTGGTTTCCAGCTACACCGCTGGTCATTCCGCCCACCTACAATTCCCTGCTCGAGGAACAGATACTTCAGGAATATCTGCCCACGCCAAAATGCAGGCGCTGCAGGTCTTGAATGATCCCACGATCCCACATCAATCAGTTCTCCGAGAATCCATAGCCAAAGCCATAGCCACAGCCACAGAGTAGCTCATGTACAGCCTGAATCTGGATCTGGATCTCAGCTAAAACTCCACAATGCTCGTTTCAAATAAAAAACAAATAAATAGCGGCTGTTTCCTTCAAACAAAAGATATGGCTTTTATTTCTGGGACAGCAAATACATTTGCAGATGATCAATTTTCTTGCTCAGTTTGTGCACGGAAATACACTGGCTATACGAAGTGAATTTCCCTTTTCGATGTGTAATCACGGGTGTCATGTCACTGTCTGACTGACTACGACATTGTCCTGACTGTCCTGAGCTTCTTCTGTCTGCGTACTTTTTTCGTAGGTGCCTCTTGGCGCTTTGCCTCCGTTTCGTTTGATGGCCGTTACTCTTGTCAGTTGCCTATTCCACTGCCGAACTTGTGTAGGTGAGAGTATTCGTGATCGTATCGACAGAAACGCTCAGAGAGGATCATATAAGAAGGAAGAAGGGTTCACAAGTCTTGGAAGTCCACTTTAGGCTGAGGCTGATTTGGTAGGCGCCTTCTTTACGGCCTCCTCCTCGGTGCGGTCTGGCAGATATGCCGGCACTTGCGGGCATTGTTGGGACGAGCGACACAGGCATGTTGTCGAATGAGGCCACAGACGAGCTCGTCCAACCGCAGTTTGGAGGCCGTGTAGACAAGCCAGCCGACATCAACGGCTGCGTTGACGCGGGTATTGAGGATCTTCAGCATCCAGAAGAGGCACCCGTACTGGTCCCTCTGCAGCACCAGGTCCAGCGGTTCGCACCGGTCGTAGATGCTGTCGTTGATGGCCAGATCTTGCGCCTCCGTGGCGGGGCCTTCAAGCCCTCCAGCGCGGCGCTGTTTCTATGGCACGAATTTATTGGGTTCACGGCCCGGGCTTTCAACTCCACGAGAAACATGGGACTAACTCAGGTTAACTTTCTCAGGTTAAATGCGAATCAAAGTCAAAGGCATGCTCAGTTTCGTTCACATCCCATACGATCTCCCAATCGTATCTCCCACTGCTGAGAGGGGATAATCTTCTAATAATCCTCTTCATAATCGTTGTTCCGCTCAAGAGTGATTCACTTTCACTGTCCTGTTCTTCAGGGTTCCAGCTTAGCGAATTTCCCATACGAGAAACGAGCGAATCGGAATGTATCGATGTAAAGATATCGGTATCGAAAATGTACAAAAGTGCCATATCTGATTCTAAAATCTGCGTGAAGCTCCTTGCGTTTTTAGAAGGGTACGGTTACTGAAAAAGATCCATCAGAAAACTGTAAAATGCTGGTTGTGCCAGTAATTTCGCCCCATTAGCTGCAATTATCCGCATAGAGATCAAGCATTTGTCTATTACATTCAATAAAAATCGAATGGATGGAAAGGCGAATTGGAAATGATAGAAAGATACGGTCGGGAGCATCTGTTCGAGCAGCTGCAGTGTACTCCGCAAAGGCCAAGCCACCCAGAGCGTCTCTCGAGGACCTGCCGCAGAGTATGTCTGCCTCCCCTGCTGTTTTCTGACGAGACTTGGGGAGAGCGGCTGAAATGGCCCTTGGCAGGAGCTATTGCTGGTGCAATACTACTGGAAATGGAACTTGTCCGGAAAAGAGTCGCCTCCATTGACGACTGCCGTTTCCATTTGAAAACAGAAACTTTTCGAATTTCTAGTAGGCCGATATTTGGTAATCATGCCATCCCGTAGGCGGAACAAAGGGCACATCACATTGTTATTACTACGCTTCTCCTCTACAAATCAGTATGTTAGAGCATTCGATAAAAAATTCTCAAAATTAAAAGCGTTTTTATCCATTTAAGAAACATTAAAATTACGTACAAAAAATAAGAAAATAATTGAAAACCATTTAGTAAATTGTTCTTTAGCTTTTCTGAGATGTCGAAGACCACGGAGACCAGGGGACGCAACGGGAAATTCTTCCAGTACGTGTGCCCCCCCGTTCGGCAGGGGTCGTGTCCTCCAGCGGCCGCCAGGCTTCCCCCCTTAGAGGCGCTCAGCGGGGAGAGGAAGCGACAGACGAACATGGAAAGAAAGGCAAGAAGGCCAGTGGCCGGAGGAAGAGGAGGAGTTGGCATTCGCGGAAATGGGTCTACAGGCGGCGTAGGTGGAGCAGCAGCACCCCTCCCAGCCGCACGTCATGGAGGAGGAGGAGGAGGAGGAGGCGGTGTTCCACTTCGGCGCCCTAGTCCTAGTCCTGCTCGTGCTCCTGCTCCACCCCCACGGCGTAGAAAGCTCCAACATCTGACGCCACGCCTGCCCCGTTTGGCGGACACCGCAGTGGTCGAATGGATCATGAGTCCCTGCCAGAACTTTGAGCAGGACAGCGACTCGGCCTCGGAAGAGGACGATCCCCAGCCGACCGGCAGTCAAGCGCTCAAGAAGTGTCGAATGTCTGCCGTTGGTTCTCGACGACAGATCGAATCGCACACCTACTTCGCTCCCAGCCAGCGGATCATGCAGGTCGCGGAGCTCAAGAAGGCCCAGGTATGGCCATTCCTGGCGAAGAAGGAGCGCCTCGAGCAGCAGACCATCGCCAAGCAAACGGACAACCCTTTGTTGGATCCGGAATCAGTCGTCAAGTCTTCAACCGATTCGGATCCGGGTCCGCTGGTCGAGGCTTCAACCGATGCAAAATCGGAACTGGAGACGCAACCCGAATCCGAGTCCGAACCCGAACCCGGACCAGAGCCGGCCGCTGTCCGTGATGCCGCCGCGGCAGCGCCAACGGCTGGCCACATCTCTGGCAGCCAGAGCCAGAGTCACGATAGTTGGTACAGCATCAGTAGCATCAGCAGCGCCAGCAGTGCCAGCCAGCCCCGACAATCATCAGCGGCGGCCAGGCCGTGGTCCAGGACAGGCCTCGTGGCGGGCAACTCTAAGGCCCTCAAGCTGACATCGACGGTGATCAAGATTATTCCCAATGCCACGACTGAGTCCCCGAGGGTTGCAACTACCTCCTGCGCTGCTGCCGCCATCTCCACCTCGGAAATGCAGACGAAGAGCCGACCAACGAGGCAACAGCAGCCTCAAGCCGCCTCCAAGAAGCTAACGACAGCCAGGACTGACGCTGACCCATTAGGGAAGCCAACAAATGTGCTGCTAATGGCTAAGGCACCACACAAGCCACCAGTGGAGATCCAGTCTAGAAGTTGTCCCCCAAAGACCCCACAAGCAAAGCCTCGGCATAGGTCTCCGGTGATCCGAGCCCGGACCCAGAATCAGAACCAGAACCAGAACCCACCCAGCACGACGCCGTTCTCCATGGCCCTGACTACAGCAATATCTGCCAGGCCTCAACCTCAGGCTCAGCTTCAACGTACTCCACCATCAGCACCTGTTCCTCCTCCGATCACGTCCAAAATTGTCCGCATGAACCAGCACAAGGTGCCGCGCACCGCCGAGGACGGAATCGACATGAGCTACCAGTATTTTGTGTCCATTCCGTTGAAGCGCGGCAAGAAAGCCCAGACCGTGCGCTATCTGTACCGGCCCATGGTGAAGAGCCTGAATCCGACCGTTCGGCGCTCCAGTCTCAAGCGTAATAAGAAGAAGAAGGGCCAGCAGGCCGCCGCCAAGTCCGAAGAGGAAGAGGGGCCACAAGTGATCCTAGTGGAGCCTGTGGCAGAGCCAGAGGTAAAGGAGGTGAACGAGTTCAAGGCGCCGGCCCTCAAAGTGGACCGTAAGTACATGCCGATGCTGAAGATGCTCTCTCAGATACCTTATCCGTCGGAGACCGACCCGAAGCCCAAGTCCAAGGCATCGCAGCACGAGGAGTCAGAGGCAGGTCTTCGAGAGGCAGATGAAGATCCTCAACTGACAAAACGAGAGTCACAAGGAGATCATCAAGTGGCAAAGGCAGATCATCAAGATCGTAAAGTGCCGAATCCCGAGACATCGACATCTCTGGAGGCTGGAGGCGATTCCAGTCCCAAGAAGCACAGCACGCCGATCCGACGTTTTCGGCCTATCCGTAAGGTACTGGTCGACTTTAAGCCCGAAGCAACGCGTTTGGATTCCATTGCCGGTACCCAGATCTCCTATCACGCTCCTCTCCGCTTAATGCGGCGCTTGAAGGGGGGAGAAGCGCCCAAACGAAGCGCTACTCCGGACCATTCCCAGCAGGTGATTAAAAAGCCTATGGACACCGTAGAGAGAATGCAAAAATCCGTCAGCTTTCAATTGTCCGATGCCAAGAGCAGCAGCAGCAGTAACATCAGCATCAGACTGACGGACAGCACGGAGCCTCTCAACAGCTTCAAGATCGATGAGCCGGAGCCGGAGCCAAAGCCAGCCTCAGTGCTGGTTCCAGTCCCAGTTCCAGTCCGTGACAAACGCAAGGTCAAGAAGAAGGTGGTCCGGAAGAACAAGACGAACAAAAACAGGAAAAAGAAGGCCTCCAAATAAGGGGCCTCTTCAACAGCATCCTTCAACGGTGATGGCTCTGCCAGTCAGGTTTCGCATTCGGTTTGTCCTTGAGATGAAACTAGGCTTTCCAACGATTAAATAGTTCAATTCTGGCCAAACTTGGAGTTTCCTTCTGCTTTGTTTTTGTTTGGGTTTTGTAGCTTTCAACCCAATATGACGATGACCTCACGCCTCCATGGGCGCAGCACCTGCAAAGGTCAGGGTTCGGGACTCTTGGGTTTCATTACATTAAGTTTTCGCCCCCAGGAGCGCCAGCTCAATGAAAGATTGTCTGTCATTAGCGTTTTTTGGGTGCGATGGGGCGGGGGTTTGGATGGGCGAGATTGGGGTTGGAGTGGACTTCGGGGAAAACAATTTCCCCAAATGAAGGCACTTTTTAAACTTCACCCCAAGAACATCGGATTGAAATCATACAAAAAATACCATTACCAAAAAAATACCAATGAAATACGAAAATTTCATTAGAAGCGCATTTATACTTCCAGAATAACAGAATTTGCCACAGCTCAATGATTCCAATCACACGAGACGGGCAAACAGCTGGTTTTAGTAGATCCAGACCCCAATCATAATTAAAATTCAATTAATCTTTTTTACAGCTGTAAAGCTTTGATTCGTATCTTCTGGAATACTTGAACTTAATCTGGTTATCTGTTCGTTTTCGCTTTCCAGAGTATTACTCTTTGTTTCGGTTTCATATTGCCGCTAGTGCTCGGAGTACTCTCCGTGTCTGTCCGCCTCTGAGCGCGGACTCTACACCAGAACAAATACACGTACACATAGAGCTCGATACACGACATCTCAACAGGTTCAAACTGGCTTTTTGTAGTAGCTAATTAGACCCACAACTGGTCCCCTTTTTGCTCAATAAAAATGTACTGTGCGTCTCAAAAGTGCATCAAGTATCACAATATCTGCTCGTCATGATGATGCATCGAAAAGAATGAGATAGATTACGCTCAATAGAGTAATTTATTGAATCATCTAGTATTTGTCTACGGCCGCTCGACACAGAGATTTCCAAGTAGACTTTGAACTAATGGATGTATTTCATGGGAATAGGATTAGATTGGGAATGATATCCTATAGAAATTATCGATCTTTTCAATGATCAATAAAATGTCCGGGGGTTAGAGTGCACATAGTATAATAAATAGTACCCAAAAAAAGAAGAGATTTTAATTTTACAAATTATCATAGATAATACGATTATGGAACTAATTTGATTGCACTCAAAATATAATTATAATCGTGATTGGTATAATGATTAATAATGAATCGCACTGTAACGCGCACATGTACACATTGTATACTCAATTAGACGTGATTCCGCCTCGTAAATACCGTGCCAAGTGCCCATTGAACCTTGACGTTCGCCGGCCTGCCCCACCCCTTCCCCCTTCCCCTTCCCCTTCACCCAACCTACTACAATACCCACTCAAACAAGCCCTCGAAGCTTGAAGCTCGCAGCTCGGACTCGAACGCGAACAGAAACCGTAGAAAATAGAACTGAAGCCTCCGCGCCGCATTTCGTCGTATCGAATGGAGACATTAGTTCCAATTAGAATCACCAGCCGTTCTAGCTAATGAACGGTCCCAAAGGTGACAATGTGTGTGGTCCGGGCGTGCCTTTTACTACCTTCGATATAAAGAGACATACATATACTTATACTGTGTATGCACAGCAGTGTACTTTACCGTATAGTATATTATAGGTGTCTGTGTGCATGTCTATGGCGTTTTGGGACCCACAAATTCACGACAATCAAGGGCAATTGGAACTGAATATGATTTTGATATCGGTTAGTGGGTCGGGCCCGAAAATCGAGTACAGTCAGTCCCAATGGAAATAAAATCCAACAACAGCCGGGGATCTAATTAAGATTTATGATGAATGTCAAGGCGACATTCGGGAAGTGGAGAAACGGCAGAGGGAAAGGAAAATTTGTGGCACAATGGCACTTAAAAGCCCTCTCCAAGCTGTTCTACGACGTTATATACCCGACTTTGATTATGCCGAGTGGCGAGTGGCACGAGCGGTGGGGTACGGCGAGTGCCGAGTGGTTAGTGTGACGAGTGGGGGGTTTGGCGAGTGGCTAGTAGCGGGTGGCCGAGTGCCGAGGCCACTTTCCCGTAAGCATCTAAAGACAACGTGACGCTTATCTACCGACACACACCCACACACACGCTCACTCACACAAACACCTTAATCGATTCCGATAAGCGAGACACACACACACACACATATGCAGATTGATGGGGTTCGTTCCATAGAGAGACAGACAGAAAGACGAGCGGGAGGGACAGCAGGCAGCAACAGACGAGAGTAGAGATAGACAGGGCCAGGGCTTTACTGATTGTCTTATCAGGACGGATGTGAATTGGGGCTGTTAGAACTAGAACAGTGACCCGTAATAGGCTCAGAATATCATAAACTGATTTCGAATTTAAGGTATTTTTTGAAGAAACCGCAAAACAAAATTGAACATTTTAAAATGCTGTTTTTGAGGCTTGAAAATGTAAATTTTGATCAAGTTTAGTTTTCCTAAATTTGGAAATTCTCTCACCGTTTATTCCAAAAGAATTTAATTTTGTTTTTCCTTGTTTAAAAAAATAACACAAATAACAATATACACTGTAACTGTTAATAGATACTTCTATAATGGGTTTGACACCAAAAGAATTGATAAATTTTAAGAAATATAAAAAGAAAATTCTGAAATTTCATAAATACTATTGCCACCGATTATTTCAATGGAAACTACCGACAAAAAATGAAGATAATTTGTTGAAAAAAATATCCATTTTACCATCAACTATTTACCTGCTTTAGAAGCTTATCAGCACATACATATGTATGTATGAATCATATTACAAGCTAAAAGAGACCACGAGTGTAAATGAGTCATTCAGTCGTTATAGGACTTATGGTGAGTTCTTCAGTGGTTCCAGTGAAATTCTGAATAACATGAGAAAGATCTACAAATTCACGTATGATTTGCCTAATGGCTGGGTATTATCTCGTTGTGAATGATTGAACAACTTCTAGCTGTACACAGAGATCGGGTTGTATAACACCACCCGGTCCGTTCCGTTCCGTTCCTCTCCGTTCCAGTCCGGTCCGGTCCCGTCCGCTCCTCCTATCATCAGATCTTGTAATCGCTATTCAGCCAGAGATCTCTCTGGGTAGAGAGCATAGAAATGAGAGAGTGAGGGCATAGCAATAGGGGGAACCGCAATTTAAGCGCGTTAAACAGTTCTACACACAGTTTAATTAACACTCAGAGCCGGGGGAATGCATTGGATGGTGACATAATAGACATTTCGAGTGAAGACTATTCCAAAAGTGAAATCGTTTCGAATGTTACATTGTGATATTTATGCCGGGTAACCCGATGACACATTTCGGTTAAGAACCGTTTCGCTACCCGCACAAATAATGATTTCATTCCGAGAGACATGTTTGCCTTGAAGCCAGAACCCGTTTTTGAATGCACCGAACACCCCCCGCGTTAGCCTCAGCCGCAGCCCCATCGCCATAACCAACCCTCTCCCCCATTTCAGAACAGAGAGGCGCACGTCTCGCAGCCTCCCCGCCACCCAGAGACCTTGACCCGGATGAAAGAGAGATGCGATGCAACGCCATACCGATGATGAAATGAATTCGAGAGAAAAGCCTAAGAAATTCCCGAACCGAAAAATTTCCGCAGGCAATGTCAGGGCCAAATGCGCGTCCAGCTGGATATATATACATATATGTATACGAACAGGGGGAATATATATATCTAAATATATATACCAAAATGATGATGCGTGTGCGTGTGAGTGCGTGGGTGTGGACTGCACTCGACGCGAGAAAATCAATAGAGATATGCATCGAGAGATGCCGCTCGCCCACAAACACACAGACACACACACGCACACACTCACGCGCGCACTTTGATACGGGGACACATGGACACGCACCCACATCATGCAGCGGGGGCGGCACACCCTCATGGCAACAAGACCAAGGACGGAGAGACCTTTATGGTTAGGGATAAAACACACTCACTTGTTGGTAATTTCCAGGACATCGGACATCATGAGGCGATACTTGCGTCGAAACTCCTGACCGCGCCGCGTCTCCAGCAGATATTTATTGCAGAAATCCGTCAGCGAAATAAAGTAGATGAATCCCAGGGACGTCAGAAAGAGTCCCCGCTGCAGTGTGATTCTGTCGGTGGTGTTCGGTATCTGCCAGAGGCTGCCGCAGGCCAGTCCCATCGACCCAATGGAGAAGGCCAGCGAGAAATAGCAACCGCGACGCGGCCTGGCCGGTGATTTTGCATCGGTCCCATCATCCTGGCTGCAGGCGGATTCTGCTGTTGCACTTCCAATGCCATGCCCTTTCACATGCTCTGGCTCGCCAGAGGGCACCGACGGGGTTGACGGCGACTGGCCGTTGCGTCTTAGATGCATCTTAGTCCTGGGGGGTGGGGGTTTGGCGGAGAATACTTTTATTATGGCGCCTCTGCTTATGGCCGATCCGAACTGGGAGATCGATATGGGGGGCTGGCTGCCTCACAACCTGTTGCCTGGACGGTGGCTGGGCTGACTGCGGCGTGCTGGCTGATCGGGGCGGACTAGGCGTGACACGGTTGCATTGCGGCAAAAAAAAAACAACAATTGTAAGCTATACATATGTGCATATATGTGTCGGGTGTCTTTTTAACTGTGGTGTTCTGCCGAGCCACCAACGTGCAGCTGCCGCGACGCCAGATGCAAATTTTTACAAATGTATTGTGTATCAATATATTTTTGTGGGAATATATCAACTAGCAACGGACTTTTCTGAATTCAGAAAAAAATTCGACACTCTGTTGTTGTTTCATTATTCGCGATTGACCATTTTGTGCGGACATATCGATCAAATATACCGACCGACCCTCAGAAATATACCAGAATATACCGTCTCATTTTCAAAATATACCGTGAATATACTGACGAAATCAAGTTCTATTATACATATTCCCCGTTTTTGATATTCCGTCGAATATTACTAGCTAGATAGAACCCTCAGCCCTGCCCACATAGTTTTATCCAATTAATACATTTATTTCTACTTGACTGGCTTATTTAAAGTTGTCATCCATATTGGGTTGCTTATAAAATAAAGGTATAAACAGATAGGTCAACAATAATTTTCGCTAAATTTATATCCTTACATGGTAACTACACAGTTGCTACATATTAACAACATTTTTATGTAATTACCTACAGCGCTAGCTAATGGGGAAAAAGCTACAAATGTACTATCAGAAATAATACATATCGATATATGTACTATCAATATATCAACATCCCTAAGATAAATAAATGGTCACAGAATTTGAGCTAGAGAAACATCGTTTCATCGATGCTATTCAAATAGTTCTGATATGCAACACATTGTAAACACTAAAATATAAAATTCATGAATTATAAAACCGCCTTTTACACTATGTTGTGTTATTGAGTTTTGGCCAATACTCAGTTTATTTTTACAAAGAATAAGCATAGGGGCCTAGTGGTGGCAAAAAGTTATGTTGTGGTTGCGTTCCAGTTGCGTTTGTTCGAATTTCCGAATATTTTATCCCGGCTCTGCATATCGTGTCGACTATCACCACTTATTAATAGTGGCATAATAATTATGGCTGAGGGAAAAGGAGCAAATATAAAACATTCCAGCAATTACTTTCAACTAATTTTATCAATAGATCGAACATCTTTATAATAGTGTTAATAGCTATATGATGCTTTTAGTGTTATCTAAAACAACGTTATTGGCGCCACTCGATAGTTTTTATACAAAACATCGATACTTTCGATAGTGACCTCGATGGTTTGACACCTCTACTTCACAAAATGGTCAATCGCGAACAATGAAACAACAAAATAGTGTCGAATTTTTTTCTGAATTCAGAAAAGTCCGTTGATTGTTGATATATCTTTACAAAAATTTCCATACTGATATACAATACATTAGCAAAAAAAAAAAAAAAACACCAAACATATTGTCAAAATAAAAAATATAAATCAATATTCGACCTATCAATATATATTCAACGTTGCAACGGGGTAAAGATGGCGAAAAGTTTCGGTAGTGCGTGCGCGCAAATTGCAATTCTCCTTGCGATATTCGGTGCAATTGAGATAACGTCGGCCAGGTGTAAGTTGGTGTGCACACGATTAAAATTGAATTCTGCCATATGAAACAAAAGACGTCCCAAATATTTAAATAACTTCTATGGTGCATGTGTGTGTGAGTGTGTGTACGTTTTCCTCTTCCACTCTGTCCCTTCTCTGTCTATTTCTCTAGCACTCTCTATATCTAATGTGATTGTGTGCGTGTGTGTGTGTAATTTTGGCTGTAAATCTGGTTGTTATTTCTTCAGTTTCTACATCATTTTGACTTGATATGAAACAAAATAAATCCACGTAATGCGTATATTTATCTAAAACTCATCCTCAGATCACAAATATATATATATGTATATACATATTTCATTTTGTTTGTACACAAAAGACAAAATCATCATCATCGGATGAGTATGATGGGCTAGGGGCAGGGGTCGCACTGACAGTTGGTTTTTTTGTTGTTGTTGTATGGTGAAATTTTATCTGCTGCCATGTTGTATTTTTTCTGTTTTTTTTTTTCGTGGCAGTAAATGCGTTAATTGACAAAAAAAAGTGTATGTGTATTTAGAAGGGGTGGGGTGGGGGGTGTACAAGGGCAGTCGAGTGTGAAAATAGGTAAAATCCAATGAAATACATATGTACATATGGATGTGTAAACATGTGTCCTGTATTCGACGGGCCTTTTACTCTCTCGACTACCATCTATCATCACTCCCCCCTGCCGCCCCCTCCTTCTTACGGCTACGGATTGGCTTTTATTTATAATTTTTTGTTTTTGTGCTCTTCGCCATGCTCCACTTAACGTGCAACAATTTTCCAACTGCGACGTCGCCACCAGGCTGCAGCCAGGCACCAGACGACAGTCCCAGTCCAGAGTGCCACGGCAGGTTCAACCTGCATATTTAAATTGAAATTTGTGGCGCACTTTGATTAACACGAAACGAAACAAAACAAAGGCGCAAAATGTGTTTGCTTATTGTTTTTTGTGTCGCCAATTTTGCAATTTCCAACTTAAACGAATCAAATGGCTGTGGAATTATGACCAGCAACAACAACAACAACAACAACAAAAACAAAATGCCACAAAAAAAGGGTCGACCAAAGGCAGACCTGGCAACACTTTTGCTACTTGTTTTTTCACCTGCTTCGCCGACAGGTGGCAACCTTACACACCGCACCGGCTCTCTCTCAGCTGCTGGCCGGAACGGTTGGAAGGGGGACGGAGGCACTTGGTGTGGAGTGCCGTTTGCTGCATTTGCATTTGCGTCTCTCTCCATCTATCTTTCTATTGCTCTACCCCCTCCCCTTGTCCAGGCCCCTTTTATGACGCATTTCAAACAGTGCTGTGTAATTGGCCAATAATGCAATCTACGGGGACAAAAACAAAAAACTGGCTGGAAAGTCGCTTATGTCGCAGTTCATTTACTCTTTTTCTCTTGCACACTTGGCTCCTCCTCTCTCTCTCTCACCTCACCTCCTCTCGACGCCTCAATTTATATTTGTATTTTGTTGATACAGTTGGAAACGGCTCGAGTTTTCTTTGTCTTTTAACCCCCGTCCCATCTCACATCCCGTCCTCGGACATTCAGTCAGGCAGCCAGTCAGCGCCCCATTATCAGTTTCTTTATTTTTCCGACTTTTTCTTCATAAACTGTATTCGCTTGGAATCAGTTAAAGTACTGAACAGTGGTGCTACTATCAGGCCCTGAGGGCCAACTGTCCAGAGTGGGTACAACCCCCGAAGCACACAAATCTCTATGATTTTCCATTTCTTTATCTCTGGACAGTGTTCCCTCCAGTAAAAGCTGCACTCTTGAACCGATTTCCATGGTGATCATTTGCAAGTTCCAGGGAAGCGGCTAGCATTGACATTCGGTGACTCCCCCCATTTTCATTGGGATTTGTTAAGGTTACAGACAGACAGGATCTAACTATTGGAAATCTAAATCTATGGCTTCCAGCTTTGGATCAACTGTGATTCCTATTCCCACATACCCATATGTGGACCACTGATTGCAGCTTCCAATAGATCCACATGGTAATCAGAAGCAAAACGGCACTTCGATTCCAATTCCCATTGGACTTGACTTGGCGTCAGCCTGCTACTGGCACCAGAGTCTCCTCCTTATCAAGGGTGTCCGTTCGTTATTATTTATAACTGTTGTTGCTGCTCCTCTTGATAAAGCATCCATCCATCCATCCATCTATCCATCACATTCATTTGGCGGACTGGAGTCTGAAGTCTGGGTTAAAGCTGTTGTGTGATGAGTTCTCTGGGGATTTTGCGGGGAACAAGCTTGAACAGCTGAATCATCCATCCGCTTTAATCGTTTATCCCCATAAAAATTTCGTGTGAATTTCACTTGTGTCCACTGTATTCCAGAGTTTGGTATTTCCCGAAATAAGACTGAAATGGTTGGGGAATTTGCAATATTATTTCAAGCTTGAAAAGCTGAAAGTGGAAGAGTTTATGGTTTATTCTATTTCCCTAAATATCCATCTGTCTTTTGGTCTTCAAATAAGTGGTAAGAGAGAACAAACCACGGTCCCCTCAATCAACTGCAACTCATTTATCTTTCATACATTGCCACTCGAGATAGTTCTCGGGTTTTTCAGCTCTAACAAGTTAATGGACATAAACAGTTATGTTCTTTGAGCATTGGCTCTTTGACAAATGCATCGCTTGTCTTGTCGTCGTCTAGGCCATGGAAAGATGAACGGACGTTAACACATCATTACCATTACCATCATCATCATCATAGTCCGTCCATTTGCTGGGAAGAAAAAATCACGCTCGCACTTGCCTTTGTTTGACTTCCATTGATTTGGTGGTTGATAACCTTATCCGCCTAACGGCGCATAAAAGAACTGTTAAAATATTAACACTCCGGCCACGTCTGGCCCAGTGCAGTGACTGAACAAACACAGGTCCCCACTAGAGAGAGTGCCTCCTGTCCGAGTACCTTTTTCAGACAGGTACAGATACAGTTGCTGGTAAAGGTAAAGGTACAGGTACAGGTACAGGTACCTCTACCCTCAATTAGCTGAAACCGTGCGACGCAAATTGTATTTCAAGCAATCAGTAAAAGAGCTGAGGAAAATTAAAAAACAAACACTGATAAACGACAGGTGTCGATAGCGTTTTTGATGATCACAGTATAAAGCTACCAACAATTGCTGAATAAATCAGACAGCGTCGTTCCGACTATAGAAATACCCGCCACACAAGTCAATTTTCATAGTCGAAAATAATCGATGTAGAATTCAGGCGGAAGCAGTCCCATAACAACCAAAAAAAGCGAACCCTTAGCGAAGAACCCTTACACAGAAGACGGATATCCTAATCATAACCTTAGCCAATTTATACGTAGTATTCACGTGTATATAAACAGTCTTAGATGCATACCTACCACATTGTATATGATAAGATATACGAATAAGATATATATGTATGTATGTACATAACCCTTTGCTAAAAGTTGTTACATTTATAACCATAGGTAAAGCCACATAAATATGGACCATATGCCGCGTCATGCACACGACATGTATACATACATATACATATGTTGTTTTTGCCATTCGCTTGTGCGTCTCGAGTCGGGCATCAATAAGGGAGCCGTGCTCCATTAATGGCTCCATTAATAACAAGTGTCACGCTATTGTGAGCTATCACATAGAATTAATGGCTGATCGGTAGATAGTAGCTGTAGAACCCTATAACACTACTAAAAATGCATATCTTTCAAGCGGGGACTTCCGCAGTTCTTGACAGAATATGTGGAATCGGAAACGTGCATTTCCATACCTTCAGCCGAATAATGAATAGCCCTGCCTTTACCCAGGGGTATCAGCAGGTAAAAAACGAAAATAAAAGAAAGAAACAAGATATACCATGGAGTGGGTAACTGGCGATAAGTAATTTCAAAAGCGCAAACGTAAATAGAAATGGGAGAGCAGACCCCGAATGCGCCGACGAATGCAGTGAAACGAACAGCCTTGCGTGCATTTATGTGCATACTTTGTTTGGACAAAAAAACACAAAGTGCTACCGCTTGAAGCGTGCTTGAATTTTGTGAAGAAATCTCATTCCAATTCCAATTCTCGCACACTGATTGATTCGTGCGTCCTTCACATCTTGTTGGCGCATTTCACCAAAAAAGACGAAAAAAAAACCCCCAATAATTAAAGACCGGCAAAAGACCGAAAGTGGGCCACTGTGCAAATTCTTTGACCCACTTGTGGGGTCTTTCTCTGGCTCTGGCGTGGAGGTCATTATCACAAACTAACTAAAGTAAAATGCTATCAAACCTCCCGACACACACACTCGAAAGAATATTAAAGACCAATTTTTTGGTCAATCAAACGCTGAATAAATTTACGCCAATTGTTTCAGCAACAATAACAACAGCAACTACAAAAAACGTACAAAACGGCCATCATTTACAGCAATTAACACTGGGTTCAATTGAATTCGAAGCATCACTGGAGGCAGCCGGAGAAGCAGAGGAGGCAGCAGTTCGCGGGGCGGGATCAGGTGGCGCTTTGGCTGCATGGATTTTCACGAGGCTTGAGTCCATCAGGCAGAGCAACGAAACAATATTCACTGCAGTATCCCTACTCAAGGAGAGCGAGAGTAGATCGGATTCGGAGTGATATTCTTCCCATAAGCGATCGGACACACGTAAACGTGGAATGTATCAACATACATGTCCATTTGCTGCTAATGCATCTATAGAAGATCTTAATCGATTAATAATATCGCTCTCTGCTCATCACCCATCCCTAAGCTCAAGTCGGAAATAGAGCAGGGCGCAGCGAGTTGAGTCATATTTTGACCGCAGTCGCTGCTGTTGCTGTTGTTGCTGCTGCGGCTGCGGCTAATACTCGTAATTATGCAAGATCACCCGCCAGATGGGGGCATCGATGACGCGCAGCTTTTGCTTTTGCTTTCGCTGTCGCTGTCGCTGCCGTTGTTTCTTCTTCACAGACATTCATACATACATCATGAACATACATATGTACATGAACAGATCTGGGGCCTGCATACCGTGCGTCCAGCGTCCCGCGTCCCACACAAGCATCTGCTAATAATACTGTATCTGATCGTCGGCACGGGTGACTGGTGACTGGTGACTGGTGCCTGGTGCTGTGTGCCTGCCCGCAATGTAATCGCTCAGTTGTGATTTGTTCCATTGAAAAACAGTAAACAATTATAACATTCACAAACGTGTATATGTGTCTGTCTATCTGTGTACAGTTGCGTTTCGACAAACAGAGCTGAATGCTGACGCCCGAGGGCTTTGTGTGTCGTATCTTTGCAAAGGGCATTACGAAAGAAGAGAATATTCCAAATATATACACACCTATGTACATGTTATATGTAAAGCCGTTGTCCGTTTGCTTACGAAAATTTTGTGAAGCAGCAGAAGAGGCAGTACAACTTTGTAAATAACATAGAATTTCCACAAAGATATAACAGTCGAACATCCATCTTAAGATGTAGCGAATCTTTGGGGGAATTCGTTATGCGGAAAATTCTTAATATACATAGAATTCTCGGGTGGAAATGTCCATATGAAGACATCGGCCAAGAAACAATAACTTTTTAACCTCATGGGACGGAGTTTTTTGCTTGAGAACAAGATACGGAATACCCTTGGGTGTTGAAACGAAAACGAGCTCTGTTCTTGCGCAATTTGTTTTTCATCTTTGAGCAGCAGAAAAATAGCGGATTCCGGATGCCAAAACACCAAAAATCAAGGAATATTGGAAACAAAAAGCAAGAACAAAACTTTCAAAGAAACAAATGAAGTGAAATCCTCCAAGAAACTACACCGGAAGTGGCAGACGATTCTCCGATTTGTTTTCGATTGCTTATTTATATAAAAAATTTAAATATGTACATATATATATATATACATATGTATGTATGTATGTTGTTGTCGTATGCTCGAAAGTTGTGAATAATTGGGCTTGGGAATCGATATCGTTTTTGTTTGGGGGGTCATGTGTACATGCCAGTCCCCCATCTATGGCACACAGACAGCCGACCGACCAACCACATGCCACATGTTGTAATTGCAATTGGGGGCTGACGACAGGGGCTCTTTGATGTGTTTCTGCGGTGCTGCGGTGCTGGCGCACATGTGGGAAATGGTAAATGAAAATAGAAAATCAATATTGAGAGCGGCTTCAAATAACAGTTAGGTTAATTACAGCACACTAGCACACACACACACACAAAACAACACAACACAACACACATGCAACACAAATAGTAGTGGCGAGGAGAGGGCCAATGGCATGTGGCACATGCCCAGAAAATTACATTACACATGCAAGAGTGGAAATGACTAAATTTGGGAAAATTTACTACAGCCAGGGGTCGAAACGCACAAAATGTTTTAAATACCAGAACACTCAATACTTGGATACCCTTGTGAAAATACCCTTTGGATACTCTTTTGAACTTAGACCTTAAGCTGGTTTATCTATTCCTAAACAAAAATGAAACTACACAAACAGATACAGATTATGCATACCACTAAGAATAATAGCGAACAATTTTGGAACTCACAAGAAAAGTATCTCTAAAGGAAGTCTTCAGCACTAGGTGTGAGGACATGTATGCAAGTCAGACCCCTGATTTCATATTTCTGGCGGCTAAAAAATCTTTTGAGTGGGCCGATGTGTGAGATCTCGGATTGTCGTAGAAAGGTACAATCCATATTTGGATTTGACGGCCATGTCGATTGTATCTTCGACGCTTTAATGCTCAAAGATGCCACTATCTGATGGCATGTCATTTGACAATATTGCCATTTGGCCAATCCCGCACAGTATCCATATTTTCCAGTACAACAAGTGTTCTTAGAAGACCCTCACGAGTTTCTTTCTGCAGCGAAGGACGTACGCTACTGAACTCGTTTTACCAGTTTTTCGTAGTGGGAATGCATGGTGTTTCATTTCCAATTGTTGAACTAATTTGATCGAAGCTTTCTTGTCAATGAAAATCAAAACACGAAAATTGTCATGTGATAATTCCATTTTTCTTCAAAGATGAATATTTCGTTTATCGTTAAATGATATAAAACGCGACTGTACAACGAAAACGATTTGGGCACGATTTGGGCACGATTTGGACAAAAATGGCAAACTTTTAAATGGAAGGGGCGATTTTTCCCTGGTCTACGCTACGGATATAAACGCCAGCCTACGTAATACTCATAAAAGTGTATAATGAATGCATTCGTGACTGAAAAGATAATATTTACCAGGCGATAAGTGAACGGCTTTACGCAAAGATTCAGATATGGCTGGCTTTCAGATACAGTGGATGTATCTTTTTATATATGTACTTTACAGAACGATAGCCAAAATGATAATATAATGAGAGCACACATATTAAAAGATAATATTTACCAGAGATAAAGGCGATAAAGGAGATAGCGGAATTGCAACTAATCGGAGTAAAAGTATTTAAATTAAAGATATCTTTAGTTACGAAGAATGGAACTAAATTTATTTTGTGATTGGTAGATCGAAACCCATAATTTCCTACAGATTGTAACAAACATTTGGTGTGTCTCTTATTGTCACTGAGATCTTTATATGCATACGATAAAACAGATCGAAGTACATACAGAGAGAGAGAGAGAGAGCGACTGTGACTACACCCTATAGTATCTACAAATAAATAACCACAATGGGCTCGCCAATTTGGGATAAAGAAAGAATATATCCCAAAGGGCGCAGCAGTGGCAAAAATACAAAAATGGCTGTACCCCACTAGCTGTGTGGATCGACGGGTTTACTTTATCGATGTGAGATTTATTACGAGAGGTGTCCCATGTAGGACTTGGTCCACTGGAAGATGTGCTCGTCGACCAGACTGCTGGATCAGAAACCAAATGCAGATGGCGAAGTACCCGGCTGGATCTGACAACTTCGATGTATGCAATAAGCTGTGACTGTACGAAATAAGCTGTGCGTATATTTTTCATGTGTACGTAATACGCTGTGTGTTGTTGTGTAGGTGTACGTAATAAGCTGTGTACATGATGAAGTGCATGAATTCGAAAGCTCCTTTCTTCACACATGACCATCGATCGGACCAGGGACCAGGCACTTCCTGGAAATACAGAAACGTCACTGAAGCGCCTCCATATACTCACTAACACGATATTCGCTTTCTGTTTTACAGCCAATCCAGATGCTTACTATCCCCTCGACATGAAGCTCACATTCATCAATGCCCACGATGTGGTTCGACTGCCAGCGGCGGAAGATCAAGCAGGGAGTCGTCAGAAGCGTGCGGCGCCCGATGCGGCAGCGGCAGCGGCAGACTCGGCGGCGGCGCCGGCCGGCATAACGCCGGATGCAAAGAGTCAGTACCAAAGCGTAAATGGGAATGCCAGCGCTGTGGCCGGTGGCACGGAGACCACGGTTACCACCGTCGACAGCAAGACGGGTGTGGGAGAACCGGGTGGCAGTGTCTCGTACAATGTACACAATTTGGGCGTCAATGGCACCGGACAGCGAAAGGATTATAGTGTACAGAATGCCGATGGATCTGCGAACCCAACGGCAACCACCACCATCAATGTGGCGGCCAAGAAGCCCACCCAGCTGCTGGGCAACCAATCGCAGTATCCCAAAAAGGTGGCCGCCTCCGCGCCGATTGTGCCACTGCAGATGCCGCTGCCTGCTGGGGTAGCCACCTCAACGGACCGCATCAACGTGGACCAGTGGACGGATGTGGATGTCTCGGATGTGGATGTCGCCGAGGAGGTGATCAACAAGGGCATCAGCAGCGAGAGCCTAAACCGCACGGAGGACCATCACGAGTACTACAACAGTACTCTGTATATCAACAAGGCGGAGGCCGCAGCACTGTGGTCCCAGCTGCGTACCGTGCCCGAGAACAGCATGCTGTCCTCGTCGCATCGTCGTGCCATGACCGTGGAGCTGCAGTTTGATTTCCCCTTCTATGGTCACTATGTGCGCAACATAACCGTTGCCACCGGCGGTTTCCTCTACACCGGCGAGTATGTCCACTCCTGGCTGGCGGCCACGCAATATATTGCCCCCCTGATGGCCAATTTCGATACGAGCATGGCCCTGGATTCGGTTGTCCGTCTGCACGATAATGGTGAGCATTTAGAACGAGCTCCGGCTCTGGCTCCAGCTCTGGCTATCTAATCTAACTCCAAATCTGTCCTCCAGGTACCGCCTTTACGGCCGTCTGGGAGAACGTGACGCTTCAGGATAAGCCCGACTATGGAAAGTTCACGTTCAGCGTCACCCTCCATCAGAACGGGGACATTGTGTTTGGATATTTCCAGGTGCCCACGCAAATCAACACGATCCAGGACAATCAGCATCCGGTTAAGGTGGGCCTCTCGGATGCCTACATCATTGACAAGCATCTCTACTGTAAGTAAAATATTTTGCCTCCAGCAGAGCCTCGATCATAACTGTTGTGGTTTTTTTGCTTCTGTGACAGTTGCCCGTCGAAAGACCATCTACGAGTATCACCGCGTGACCTTCCAGCAAAAGGAGATCACCAATGCTACCGTTATCAAGCTGACGGCCCTGCCCACCTGCCTGGGCTACAATGATTGCCAGGCGTGCATTAACCATAACACAACTTTTGCCGTGGGTTCCACCAGCTAAAAACTAAAACTGTAGATTCTATAATCCTTTCTCTCTCCTTTTTTCGCCTCACAGTGCTCCTGGTGCCCGGCGCTGAATCGCTGCTCCACGGGTACCGATCGCAAGAAGCACGAATGGATTCAAAAGGGTAAGCATTAACGGTTGAACGTCCTAACCATTCAATTAATTGAAAAATTACATCCATTCGCAGGCTGCGACACAGCTGCCATTCATGATGTTGGCACTTGTCCGGTTCTCGGCACGAAGGGCAACAACGCCGGCCAGGAGAAGACCGGCACTGCGAGCAGTAGCGGCAGTGGCAACTCGTCCACCGCCTCGCCCGCCAGTTCTGCGGCAACAGAGCCAACGCTGAGCAGCACGCGAGCTCCGCGAGCAACTGCCCAAACCAAGACAGTCGCCGATGCAAGCAGCAGCAGAAGTCCGGCGGACGGCAAGCTCTTGAATGCCGACGAGCTTTCTCAGGCGCAGGGCGACAACAAGAGCGTGGGCATGGCATTTGGCTTCATGGTGCCCATCTGCATGGTGTTCGCCGTGACGCTGTGGCTCTTCTATGCGTACCGCAATCCGCACACGAAGAGCGGCCAACTTTTAATTCAGGTGAGGGTCGAAAGATCCAAAGCATCTTTTCTATATATGTAAAACCCATGGCTTTATGCATTTCTTACAATTACATGCAGTCCAAGCATTTGCATCAGGTTGGTTATCAGAGCTCTAGACATAACACTCTCTCTATAAGCACACATGCATACATATATAGTACATAATTGTGGCTAAAAATAACTTGGCTTTATTCTCTATCGTTTAATCCATTAGTTCCGTCCCAGCCAGTGGTCTTGGAGGCGCGGCGAGGCGCGCTATACGGCAGCCACGATACACATGTAAAGAGTACCAGAGATATCCAGAGAGATGATGGAGCGACAGAGAGAGAGAGAGAGAGATGAGATCGCCTAAGAGAGAGAGAAAGAGAGTTGCAGCAAAAACGACAGAAATTTTGATAGAAAACCGGAGACCGAAATCCCCCTCCACCCCGCAAATATCAATCCTCAAACAACAAACAATTTGGAAATTGATTATTCTATTGATCACAGGAAAAGACAAACGGAATAATTAGTACTGATGTTAAAGATTTTTCGACAGACACAAAAAATAATGTAAGGCAAGGCAAAAGCAAGACAGAAACGGATACAAAATTAAGAAGCCCCCACCACCCAAATCACAATCCCTAACCCCTAACCTCCAACCGAATTGCTCAAAAAAGACGACTAGCAACAGCATGAAGTGATCCTTTAGTGTTTTCTTTGGTTCTGTTTTTAGCCCCATCCTCCTTAGCTATCCCCAAAAGCCAAGACCCAAGTCCTCCCCAAGATCCCAGCACATACTTGTACGAACTCCAACAAAACACAAACACACACACACACACACACAAAACCAAACACACACACACACACACAGGGCAAAGTGCTTTCAATTGTTTTCCTAGTTCAATTTTTTTTAGGTCTCTTATTATATGTTTTATTTAATACTTTTTTAACCCTAAAGAAAGGAAACCAAACGATCAATGGAGTGATATCAGAGATCGAGGGCAGAGTTTTATATATATTGTATATTTGTTTGTGCCGCAGCGTCCTCCACAGACAGCGTTCCTTCACAATTTGTGTAATCGGATTTCGTTAGTTTCTTTAAAAAGAGATGTTTCTAAAGTGTGTGTTTTAGTAGTGGCTTGGCGATGAGGATAAAATGAATCGCGCAGGATGGATGAATGATGAATGTATTATTGTGAACCACTCGATGCAGTTTTTTTTTTTTATATTTCGTATTGTCTATATATTGTATTATACGCGATCTGGATGCCGCAATCGTATAGATACATCTGCATATTGTATTTATATTCAACAATATTGATATCCATGGATATATCCAAGACGACCTCTTCTTTTTGTTAGTATTTTTTTCTATTAATTAATATTACAAATAAAGAAACAACAAACAGATCTAAAGCTATATAAAAAGAAAAGGAACATAAGCTTCAAACTTTAACTAAACAAAATGCGGTGTGCAAAGCTAAAGCTAAATCCATAAACATTGACGACTAAGCGAAACCCACTCGGAATACTATTAATATCAAAATCAAATCAAATCAAATCAAATGAAATAACACCGTCAAATGAATCCAAATTGAGATCCCCAAGCATACAAGCGACAACAACTAAGGAAATTGTATAACAATGTATTTTGATAAAGAAATTAAATTTGTATTTTAAGCTCTTATTATGTATACATAATAATTTAAATAAAAGAAAATACAAAATACAAAAATGAACACACCAACATATGTACATGCATGTATGTGTGTTATTTTCGCAGATCTACAGAACTCAGACACTGGAGAGGCTGGCACTTTGAAAATCCATCAAGCTGCCACCATCCTTCAGCCGCTTTAGAGACCTAATGGGAAATAAACAGAGGCTAATATTCTCTTTGTTAATATTCTCGCTCATCTTTCTCAAGATGTCCAGCATTTTGCAATTCGATTCTACCAGGCTGGCCGCCGAGAAGTTCCAGGCCTATCCCACACTGGTTGGGTTTTCAAACATACGATTAAATATCATTAAAATGGTTTGGTTTTCATTTGTGTACCCTAGCAGAGGATATACATACATATGTACTGGTTCACATACATCAATTAAATGTCTGACAGAAAATACCATAGTAGTAGATACACTGGGAAAGAGAAAGTCTTAACAATTGAAATTAAGTACTAGAGGAAATACTCCCCTGCTAAGATCATCATGCATTTATTACGAGTAAATGTAGTTTGTACTTTTATTAACTTGTAAGCGGATCACTTAATAGTAACAATTCCTACGATTAAATATATTTTCCCGGATGCTAATAGCATGCAACGAAAACTGATGATAAGATATTCATTATTTATTATTCGGTGAGCTAGTCTCGCAAATAAAATAGGACAAAAGCCAACATGGGGCGTCGTTCATTAGGAATTCCCTATTTTGCTGTGACTTCAGTTCTACGCAGTGCTCGTAATTTCCGTAGTTGTTTGGTTCACCATAGATCCACCTAAGAAAAGTCGCCCTGTTGCCAGTGTTCTGCGACAGAAACAAGCCCTCATTGGCCAGGTCGGAGATCCCCAGCCAATAGTGCCGGCCGCGGATCAGTCTTTGCTTAATGGAATTCAGTTCCTGTTGGTTCGCCGGATCCGCCAGATGGCCGCCCATCTCATGGCATATATTCAATGCGGCATACCAGTTGACTTTTCGGTTCTGCTCAATGTGGAAGAACCTTGAATTTATCTTCACGAAGTTCCCAGTACCTCCCGACTCTTGCGTCTGCAGCTCGCCAATCGCATCCTCCACCCTGTCCAGGCGTTCAGAGTTTCCACTCACCGAATCACTTTTCAAGGATCCTTGCAGATGCACAGCAATCAGTATATACAGGAGGAAAGACACAAGCTCGAACATTCTAGAAATTATTTCAACTGTGCAACAGCACACGGCATAAGATCGGAAACAAACTGATTTCAATGGCAATTGCTGAACTCATGCCATACCTTTTATAGGCTGCCGATTTTCGCTGTCCGGCACTATCAGCGATTGAAAGTTTCCCGGGCTACACCCGGGCTATGTTATATTAGATAACCTAAAACGCAATTGCACTCAGAGAAAAATTATTTTTAAAATGTTTTCCACTAGTCGTATTTAATTAGTAAGATGTGGTCTTGGGGAGCATGCTTTCTTCTTCGACAGAAAATATTATTATCCATCACCTGCCTCGCAAAGGAAATAGTTCTTATAAGTACATGGTAAGTCATTCATCCAGAAATTTTCATATTGAAGATGTACGCAATGTTCATTATTTCCATGATTGTCTGGTTGGGAAGGACTCCACTTTTTCAAAGGAGCCAAGTCTCCCGTGGCCTGCGACACAAAGGCGCCCTCTTTGGCCAAGTCGGAAATTCCCAGCCAATACTGGAGCCAATGGAAAATATTTCATAATAAGGAACTTTAAAACTGGATTGGCCAAAGATCAGTGCAGTTGATATCTCTATATACAATATGTTAAAAGTTCGCCCTGGGGATTCTCCCTCTTTAAATCAGTTGGCGCGTCCGCTCTCTTGAACCGGGCGCACACTAGCGCCCTCTGGCAGCTTCACCCGTTTGAGTGTTGCTGGATCGGACCAATAGGGGTCGCAGCGCTCAGCTCGTATCGATATAGTGTAGGGGAGCTTTCGCGATCTACTTAAATCTGCAGAGCTGCATCGGGTGCATCGCGCCAGCTGCTGGAACTTACTTCCCTGTAATTTATGTGCAAACATTACCGACATCGTCTTCCCTCCTGCACTCTTTTTTACCCCATCGACTTTGACCAGGTAAGCATTCCTCTTGCGTCTGGTCATCCGGTGCACTGGCCGGCCACTGCCATGGCCCTCTTCCTTGCGTTCCACGCTGTTTTCCCTGCCTCTCCAGACCGATCGCCGTCGGTCCCTCCTCCGTGGGTGATTCCGCCGTAGCTCCTCGCCCTCTCGTGAGGCCATCCTGCTGCGGACGCAGCAGGATCCATTACGCCGATGCTGTGTCGCCTTTTCTTCAGTTCCTTCACCTCCCCCTCCAGGGAATCCATTTTCGCCACCAATTGAATTGACAAGTTGACGAATTACATAGCCTCAATGGGGGCTGATGACCTCCAATCAAATTGCTGAATTGTTGTGAATAAGGCTTTCAGAAAAAACTTAGCGAGCTTACAGTAGCTTTAAAATCAATATATTTAATATTTATATGACTCAATTTTGTATAATTTCGGACGTTGATGTGGTATTTAGCTCATTATAGGAAGATCCTAGGAAGTAAATAAATGCGATTGCCTATGGCGATCAAAGTGAACAGTAATCTAAGTATAAATCAAAATCTGAAAGGATATATAATAACATATGTATATAATCATAATAAATATAAGAGTTACTTTTATATATGCGGAAATAGCTAGAATATAACGAGGGGTTACTTCTGGTGAAAACAAATAAGCTAAAAACATAAGAATCATCTTAATTAAAGTTAAGTGTATTCCCCAACAGTCCGAAACGGCAAAACCACAAATATCGGTTCATATACATATGTACCTACAATTATTAAATAATTGCTTTCCATCCAGGACCACAGAGAAATCAATAAAAGGAAGCAATAAAGGATTTGGCAGCTCTTCAAATAGAAGCATTCATGTTGGGAATGTGAATACTTTTAGCAGAGGTGTGTCGGTATACTTGCAATATCCAGTTGAATTAATTTGATTCAAATTTATTATCAAATTAGCTTACCTTTCAAAAGATCCAAAGCGCAAACTCCTGGCTTATCCGACCACCAGCTCCACACTTAAGAGCTCAAAAATTCTGTTCTTTAATCTCATTAAGTGCGTGTGTGTTGTCTTTTGATAAGTTCCAAGGCCCAGGACCCACCCTACGTTGCCTGGAAGTTGAACTATCAATCTGACAAATATAATTGGATGCCTTGTTGGTCTTTAATCACATTAAAAGTTGCTTAACCTGTGGTTTTTGGCTCAAAGGCCCAAGACGACGTTCTTTGCCTCCCCCTTTACCCCCTCCCATTGAAAACAATACTGTATATGTTTTCCTTGACATTCAATATCTAGTTTCCAAATTCAATTTTATTCCTTGGACTATGTGTTGTTGGTCTTTAATTGCATTAAATTTTTGTAGTTTTAGTTAATGACTCAAATATTTGGTTTTAATTAATGCATCTACTACTCGTACATTGAATTTCTCTCTAAACATTTACAAGATGTCTATGTGTCTATGTGGATGTTGCTAATGGGAAGTGGTATTATAGCCGGAGGGCGGGGGCTCTTGGGTGGGCTGGGGGCTGGGGGCTGCGGGCTGAGGATGGGTCCATTTAAAGCTTCTGTTGGGCCAGCTCCTCGATGGTGCGGGCATTGGTGAGGGTCACCCACAGCGGGGACTGGATGCTGGCCAGGGAGTAACTTTCGGCAGCGTCCAGCGACTGCGACTTCCGCATGGCCGCCTCTGATCGGCGTGGAGAGCCGCTGCTGCTGCTGCTGCCGCTGGCGGTGGCGCCACCGCGACGAAGACCCCGCTTGGAGCCACGTTTGCTAAAGGCAACGGCTGCCTCGTCCCCACCGCCGCTGCTGGTGCTTGCGGCCCGCAGGTCCTGGAGGCGACTTCGCCGTTTGGCCAGGGCCATTGAATCGTGCGACTCCCTCACACTGGCCGTTTTCCGCAGCTGCGGTGGCACCAACAGCTGTGACGACGTCGAGGCGGGTAGATCCTTGGCCTGGGGCGGCGCCTGAGGATGGGACTGGGACTGGGACTGGGGATGTGCGAGCGTTGTTGGGGGCGTCGCGGTGGGCGGCGGCTGTTGCTGCTGCTGCTTCTGCTTCGTGGCTAACTGTTAGCTTGAGGAAAGGGACATCTTGTAGGAAGTGGTGTCCATGGGCGACTCGGGATTGAGGATTTCGGTCTGCGTCTGTTCCACATCGCTGCAGCGCTCCTCCAGCACGGTATCCAGCTCCAGCGAGGTGAAGCCCTGGCTTAGGCTTCGTTCAGGACGTAGACTGATAGCTCGCGACGATCGGTAATCTGAGGGCGCAATCAAATCAGTTCGAGTCATCAGTAATTCAGGGATTGAGAGTTTTTTTTCGGGTAGGGCTGGGTAGAACAATGCTCGTGAGTGGTGGGGATGGGATAGGCGCCAGGTGTGAGAAAGA